CACATCTGCATTGGCATTGGACTGACAGGCCAGAAACCAACAGTTTGCATGCAAATAAGCCAGATTTGTAAAATGGATGTGCAAACAAAACTCAAGTTCTGGCCATAGTCCACAAGTGGGTGAAAGTTTATATTGGTCTTACAAATTCACATTTATGCGAATAACAGGAGGGCCACACATGAGGGTTTACTGTAAAAGGTGGCCTATTCAACAATTCCTATTTATGAGTACAACAGTAAGGCCACACATGAGGGTTTACTGTAAATGGTGGCCTATTCAACAATTCCTATTTATGAGTACAACAGTAAGGCCACACATGAGGGTTTACTGTAAAAGGTGGCCTATTCAACAATTCCTATTTATGAGTACAACAGTAAGGCCACACATGAGGGTTTACTGTAAATGGTGGCCTATTCAACAATTCCTATTTATGAGTACAACAGTAAGGCCACACATGAGGGTTTACTGTAAATGGTGGCCTATTCAACAATTCCTATTTATGAGTACAACAGTAAGGCCACACATGAGGGTTTACTGTAAAAGGTGGCCTATTCAACAATTCCTATTTATGAGTACAACAGTAAGGCCACACATGAGGGTTTACTGTAAAAGGTGGCCTATTAACATCCCGGCATTACGAAGCGTTTGCATCGACTTAGCCACAGAGCCGACATTTCATGGGAGACAGTTTCATAATACAGTCTCCTCCTTTTCTTCTTCTTCTGCCCTTCATCTCAGAATGGATGAAGCACAGGCCCTCAGCGAACCCCTGCCAAGACCTATCTATCAATATGCAGCTCACACCATGCCCTCCCCATTTTTTTTAAAATTTCCTTCTCTAGTTCCTCTCTCTGTGTGTTGATTGGTCTGCCTTATTTCTAAGACCCTGTGGGTTCCAATATAAAGACATTCTAGTTATTATCAGGATTCTGAGGTTTCCTTTTCAATGCCTGTGTCTTTTCTTCACCTCTTGGTTCACTGAAATTTGTTCAGTTCTCTCCCAAAGCTCCACATTAATGATTCTATCATACCATTTAATTCTTTCTATTCTGCACAGGCACCACTTAATGAACACTTGTAATTTGTTAGTAACTGTTTTAGTTGTCAGTCCTTGTCTACATCTATCTCAATGTTTGTGTAAATTCTGTCAGTGAACAAAACTGGTAAGTTCAAAACATGTCTGTGTTTTAGAAATTAATCAAAACCTGGCTTTACAACAAGTGCATCAATAATAGTATAAAAGTGGCCAAACAACAATTGTATAAATAATACACAAACATAAACACTTGAGCACTGGTAGTTAATGTAACAATATATGTGAGCCCCATACCTTACATTGAGCCCCATACTCTACAATGAGTCCCAAACCTCACAGGGAGCCCCACAACTCACAGTGCGCCTCACAACTCACAGTGACACCCACACCTCCCAGTGACACCCCCCCCCCCCACAGTGACACCCACACACCCCCCCCCCCCACACTGACACCCACATCCCTCAGTAACCCCCACAGTGACCACATCTCATATAAACAGTTATACTGGAGCTAGAGTAAGTGCCCTTGGGTCAGATGTGGGTTGGGGATGTTCAAATTTTATTTTATATTTCTGGCATCAGTTTAATTTATAGCACACAATGTGTGCTAAAACTGGCAACAGTGATAATATGGATACCTGTACTGGTCAGGTGTGTGAGTGTGGTCTTTTTAAAAGCTATATAAGACACATGGCACTCTATACATAAGGAATAGAAGACTAGTCTAACCCGAACATAATGTACACAAGGTATCACACACTCTGCAGTTAAGTTATAGCAGCCATACACCATTGTGAATATAAAATATTCCAGACACTTCCCACACTGAACATAAGATATAGCAAACATTCCAAACACCTCCCACACTGAACATAAGATATAGAAAACATACCTCCCACACTGAACATAAGATATAACAAACTCACCTTCCATACTGAACATAAGATATAACAAACTCACCTTCCATACTGAACATAAGATATAACAAACTCACCTTCCATACTGAACATAAGATATAACAAACTCACCTTCCATACTGAACATAAGATATAACAAACTCACCTTCCATACTGAACATAAGATATAGCAAACATTCCAAACACCTCCCACACTGAACATAAGATATAGAAAACATACCTCCCACACTGAACATAAGATATAACAAACTCACCTTCCATACTGAACATAAGATATAACAAACTCACCTTCCATACTGAACATAAGATATAACAAACTCACCTTCCATACTGAACATAAGATATAACAAACTCACCTTCCATACTGAACATAAGATATAACAAACTCACCTTCCATACTGAACATAAGATATAGCAAACATTCCAAACACCTCCCACACTGAACATAAGATATAACAACTTCACCTCCCACACTGAACATAAGATATAACAAACTCACCTCCCACACTGAACATAAGATATAGAAAACATACCTCCCACACTAAACATAAGATATAGCAAACATTCAAGTCACCTCCCACACTGAACATAAGATATAGCAAACATTCAAGTCACCTCCCACACTGAACATAAGATATAGCAAACATTCAAGTCACCTCCCACACTGAACATAAGATATAACAAACATTCAACTCACCTCCCACACTGAACATAAGATATAGAAAACATACCTCCCATGCTGAACATAAGATATAGCAAACTCACCTCCCACACTGAACATAAGATATAACAAACTCACCTCCCACACTGAGTATAAGATATAACAAACTCACCTCCCACACTGAACATAAGATATAGAAAACATACCTCCCACACTAAACATAAGATATAGCAAACATTCAAGTCACCTCCCACACTGAACATAAGATATAGCAAACATTCAAGTCACCTCCCACACTGAACATAAGATATAACAAACATTCAAGTCACCTCCCACACTGAACATAAGATATAACAAACATTCAAGTCACCTCCCACACTGAAAACATACCTCCCATGCTGAACATAAGATATAGAAAACATACCTCCCATGCTGAACATAAGATATAGCAAACATTCAAGTCACCTCCCACACTGAACATAAGATATAGAAAACATACCTCCCATGCTGAACATAAGATATAGAAAACATACCTCCCACACTGAACATAAGATATAGAAAACATACCTCCCATGCTGAACATAAGATATAGAAAACATACCTCCCATGCTGAACATAAGATATAGAAAACATACCTCCCATGCTGAACATAAGATATAGAAAACATACCTCCCATGCTGAACATAAGATATAGCAAACATTTCATTCATATGGTCATATGTACAAGGAGACTTTTGTGTGTGACAGAAGACATATTATGCTCTGAACAAAAGAACACACAAATACTCAAACACACACACATATGAACATATATATGTATGTGTAATAAAACCCAGTTCGGTTGGGGGGAAAACCTGCTTATATAGCTGATCACTTAACTCTTATAGCACTAGTATGTGAGTGATAACTTTTAACTCTTTCCATCCTTAGAACTTCTAGTTTCACGTAGCCAAATTTAGAGTCCAGATATCTTTAAATATGAACACTTTTGAGCAAAAGGAGCTGAACTCAGATATAATAGTTGAGGATTCAGAACATTTTAGTGTCCCTGAACTCTGAACCCTAATCTGGCAAATAAATGAATGTGTTGCTTGCTACAGAAAGGTTAATATGAACAGAACCTGAGAATGGGGGAAGAGTTGTGGTAGGGGGTGGACACTGTCAATTATGTCTGGTGTAAAAGAAATGTTTGAGCCAATACACAATGGTGAAAAAATATAAAATTATAAAACAAATTTATAAGACTGACAGTAATACAATTTCAGTAATCACAGATACACACAACATACAGCCCCACCACACCTGACAGTGAGCCCCACACCTGACAGTGAGACCCACACCTGACAGTGAGCCCCACACATGACAGTGAGTCCCACACCTGACAGTGAGCTCCCACACCTGACATTGAGCTCCCACACATGACAGTGAGACCCACACCTGACAGTGAGCCCCACAGCTGACAGTGAGACCCACACCTGACAGTGAGACCCACACCTGACAGTGAGCTCCACACCTGACAGTGAGCCCCATACCTGACATTGAGCTCCCACACATGACAGTGAGCTCCACACCTGACAGTGAGACCCACACCTGACAGTGAGACCCACACCTGGCAGTGAGACCCACACCTGACAGTGAGACCCACACCTGACAGTGAGCCCTACACCTGAAAGTGAGCCCCACACCTGACAGTGAGCCCCACACCTGACAGTGAGCCCTACACCTGACAGTGAGCCCTACACCTGACAGTGAGCCCTACACCTGACAGTGAGCCCCACACCTGACAGTGAGCCCCACACCTGACAGTGAGCCCCACATGTGACAGTGAGCCCCACACCTGACAGTGAGCCCCACACCTGACAGTGAGCCCCACACCTGACAGTGAGCCCCACACCTGACAGTGAGCCCTACACCTGAAAGTGAGCCCCACACCTGACAGTGAGACCCACACCTGACAGTGAGCTCCCACACCTGACAGTGAGCCCCACACATGACAGTGAGATCCACACATGACAGTATGTTCCCTATTCAGATAATACTTCACATATTAATAAATAAGTAAACTACTGAGTAAAGATTCTTTTTCCATGTCTTCAGGCATAGTGGGCATATAGGGCTAGGCCTATTTTTTATAAACCAAAAGGCACTTGGTGGGTGATGTGGTCAGCATCACACCGGCTGTCTTTACTTCCCAGGACTGTACCTGGTACCCATTCAAGACCTGGCAGAACTTGAACCTACGACCTTCTGATCTGCAGGTGAGTGTCTAGCAGTTAGACCACGGCGGCTCGCATTCACATAAAATGTCAGATATAAATATATGAATATAATTGTACATGTTTGCTCATCTGACATGAGTTAACAACATCCTAGAAAAGTCTCTTCAATCAGTAGTTGTTGAACCGTTGTCGCTGTTGTTGTTGTTGCTGCTGCTGCTGTTGTTGTTGCTGTTGTTGTTGCTGCTGCTGTTGTGGTAGGGTCACCTGTGTCATATATGGTGGTGGTGGGTAGTTCTGGAAGCTGTCATTGTGAGGCTGTTGCAGCTCTGGAGGTGGAGGGGGAAATGACTGCTGATGCTGCAGTTGTCTGCGAGCCATGTGGGGGGAACTGTGGCTGATGGGACCATTGGCCATTGGTGGAATATTGGGCAGGAAAGGAGCACCCGAGGTCAGACTGCTTGGAGAGGCAGGAGGGCCTTCTGAAACAAGACATATGTCCAAGCATTACATACAATCTGTTATGTGATCACCTCCAATGCCATAGGCAACAGCGGGCAGGTTTACTTCTACACTGGCATGCATTCAGTCACCACTTCGTCAGTACAGGAGTGGTTGTTGGCACCGCTCCATCATTCTCAGTAACAGTTCTATAGGGAGGCTGTTCTATAGGGAGCCGGCAACCACATCCCATGGTGATGGTGAGTCTGATGAGCCAGACCAGCTCAGGTTTAAACAAAGAAAAAGTAGTAGCAAACTACTATATGACAAATTGCGAACAAATCCTGGGATTGGTTCAACTACATCCCGTAGTAGAGCAGGGTCTATTTAACTGGTGGCCCACGGGCCAAATCTGGGTAAGCCTAGCAAATTGCCTACGAATCATTGCCAGATGTACTGTATTATTGGTTTTTCTATGCTAGGACTCAGACTTTTGGCCCATGACAATCCCATATATATTCTTTGATTTGTGCATTAAGTTTTGTTGTTACTTGAAATATATTTAAATAAATAAATAACTGCATTTATATATATATATATATATATATATATATATATATATATATATATATATATATATATATATATATATATATACACACACACACGCATGCACGCACACACACACACACACACAATCGTTGATGTTTAGTCATGTGTGTAAGTAAACTGTTACTATCTGACATTTTATCATGTTTACACTGTTCACAAAATCTGGCTGGGATGAGGACAAGTGAGTCATCAGTAATGGCTTTTTTCTATGCTTCCAGGCATGTGATAAATGACCTCATTATCATGCCAGTAATTTTCACTGGAGAAGGCCTTGACTGTTGTAGAGATTTTGTGACAGAGCTCACTGTATATTAGACTGTATACAAGTCTTTAAGACAAACAGACTATATACAAGTCTTTAAGACAAACAGACTATATACAAGTCTACAAGACAATTAGACTATATACAAGTCTACAAGACAATTAGACTATATACAAGTCTACAAGACAATTAGACTATATACAAGTCTACAAGACAATTAGACTATATACAAGTCTACAAGACAATTAGACTATATACAAGTCTACAAGACAATTAGACTATATACAAGTCTACAAGACAATTAGACTATATATATATAAGTCTACAAGACAATTAGACTATATATATACAAGTCTACAAGACAATTAGACTATATACAAGTCTACAAGACAATTAGACTATATACAAGTCTACAAGACAATTAGGCTATATAAAAGTCTACAAGACAATTAGACTATATACAAGTCTACAAGACAATTAGACTATATACAAGTCTACAAGACAATTAGACTATATACAAGTCTACAAGACAATTAGACTATATACAAGTCTACAAGACAATTAGGCTATATAAAAGTCTACAAGACAATTAGACTATATACAAGTCTACAAGACAATTAGACTATATACAAGTCTACAAGACAATTAGGCTATATAAAAGTCTACAAGACAATTAGACTATATACAAGTCTACAAGACAATTAGACTATATACAAGTCTACAAGACAATTAGACTATATACAAGTCTACAAGACAATTAGACTATATATAAGTCTACAAGACAATTAGACTATATACAAGTCTACAAGACAATTAGGCTATATAAAAGTCTACAAGACAATTAGACTATATACAAGTCTACAAGACAATTAGACTATATACAAGTCTACAAGACAATTAGACTATATATGTCTACAAGACAATTAGACTATATATAAGTCTACAAGACAATTAGACTATATACAAGTCTACAAGACAATTAGACTATATATATAAGTCTACAAGACAATTAGACTATATACAAGTCTACAAGACAATTAGACTATATATGTCTACAAGACAATTAGACTATATATAAGTCTACAAGACAATTAGACTATATATATAGGTCTACAAGACAATTAGACTATATTCAAGTCTACAAGACAATTAGACTATATATAAGTCTACAAGACAATTAGACTATATATATAAGTCTTCAAGACAATTAGACTATATACAAGTCTACAAGACAATTAGACTATATATGTCTACAAGACAATTAGACTATATACAAGTCTACAAGACAATTAGACTATATACAAGTCTACAAGACAATTAGACTATATACAAGTCTACAAGACAATTAGACTATATATATAAGTCTACAAGACAATTAGACTATATATACAAGTCTACAAGACAATTAGACTATATATATAAGTCTACAAGACAATTAGACTATATATATAAGTCTACAAGACAATTAGACTATATATATAAGTCTACAAGACAATTAGACTATATACAAGTCTACAAGACAATTAGACAATATACAAGTCTACAAGACAATTAGACTATATACAAGTCTACAAGACAATTAGACTATATATGTCTACAAGACAATTAGACTATATATATAAGTCTACAAGACAATTAGACTATATACAAGTCTACAAGACAATAAGACTATATACAAGTCTACAAGACAATTAGACTATATATGCCTACAAGACAATTAGACTATTTACAAGTCTACAAGACAATTAGACTATATACAAGTCTACAAGACAATTAGACTATATATGTCTACAAGACAATTAGACTATATACAAGTCTACAAGACAATTAGACTATATACAAGTCTACAAGACAATAAGATTATATACAAGTCTATAAGACAATTTGACTATATACAAGTCTACAAGTGTTCAAGTCTATAATATTACAAGTCTACAAGATTACAAGTTGCAAAGAATAAGAAAAAACTCACCAAACAAAGGAGGCGGTTTGTTTGTTCTGCACATCAGCAACTTCACATTAAGTCCACCATTTTGAATAATTTCTATTGCCTCTGTGTGTGTCATGTTTTCTGTCAGGAAGTTATTAATCTCTAAGATCTGATCCCCGACTCTCAGCCGCCCATCAACGTCTGCTGCTCCACCCTCAGCTATCCTTAGAACATAGAGTGGCATTGCGTTGAACTCTCTGCCTCCTCTGATGGAGAATCCAAACCCACGTGAGCCACGGTTGAGTTCTACTTGATACAAGTCAGCACTTTCATCAGAGCCCTGCCAATGATTTATAACATAAATAAGGACACAGAAACATTAGACATCGATAACTATTATCCTTACCCACAAAAGATGGCAGGTTATATCAGGCTGGTGTCATCGTTATGAATGCCCCAATTATAACGTTGGGGGGGGGGGGGGGGGAGGGTGTGTGTGTGTGGAATTTAAACCAGCTATCTGAGATTTATCTTTTTGAACTGAGAATGAGATTCTGTAATCTGTGATGAAACCATCTAAATGGTGAAAAACAACATAAGAAGTAAAAGATGCTAGATTAAATTTTATTCTCATTAAAGTAAAGTCATGATTTCACAACAGAAATAAAAGAGAGTGAATTGCTTTTTAAGTGTCCCAATTCTCTGACATGCACATACATATAAAGGAATGGGGGCAGAGTGGCTTAGAGTTATAATCTTTACCTTTGACCCAAGAAGTGGGGCTCAAATGACAGTGAGGAAAGTTATTAAATAAAAAAACAAAATCACAACATATTTGCCTTTTTGGTAGCCTAGGATAGAGGATCAGATGTCTAGACTTCTCATATAAGGGCAGATAATGCACATTAGAAACCATGGAGAATTGCAAGTCAGCAGTTTGCCACATAGGCCATATACACACTAAATTTCAAACAGAGAAAACCTGCCCACATAAAAGAATATTTACAGCAGATGCGGTTCTGGAATAAACAATGATCAATGTTGCTTTGGAATTTGTGTGCTGAGCTCACAACCTCCTCTTGTGGTCTCTGTAAAGAGACTTAGCTACTTGTGCAGTTAACTGTAGCCAAAGCGAGTGATCCTTTACAGATCAAACCACATTTCACAAACCAAACTTTAACCTAAATCAAACTCAGTAAACCAAACTTTACAACCCAAACCAAACTAAACTTTACAACTCAAACTAACCATCAACCAATATTTACAACCCAAATCAAACAACACACACACAAAAGCTTTAAAACCCAAACCAAACGAAACTTTACAACTAAAACTTAACATTATAAACCAGTATTTACTACCCAAAATCAAACTCAACACACACCCAAAAAAAAACTACAACCCAAACAAAACTTTACAGACCAAACTAAACTTTACTACTTGATCTTTACAATCCAAATCAAACTCAAGAAACCAAACTTTACAATTAAAACTGAGCTAAACTTTACAAACCAAACTTTACAACCCAAATCAAACTCAATAAAGTAAACTAAATTTTGCAAACCAATGCTTGAAAAAAAAAGAAAAAAAACCCACCAAAGTGTTGTGTATTCAATTGTTGCCCTGAATTACAAATGTAATCTGGACTAAAAACAGAACTGAGAAGTTGCACAAAATTATTGACACACACAGATATATGTAAATGTTTTGACAAAAATCTTGATTAACTCTTTTAAGACATATCGCCACTTTAGTGGCTTCTGAATCTATCACGTTTGGATGGATCACCACTTAAATGGTGTCACGCATAGACACTCTAATATTGTTTTGTTTGCTAGAAAAATAATGTGCGTAAACCTGTTCCAAAAAACTGGAGTTAGCAAAAGGAGGTAACAACATTATCCCAGCATGATGAGGTGACAGGTTTAATTTTTGATTATTTTAAAAATAAATTCAGTGTGATCCAATTTTTACGTGATTTTCCAGACCAAAGGACAAGGAAAAGGGTCTAGAAATGTCCTTACTGTTGCTGTCATTGATGAATCTGAGCCAGATAGTGACGACAGTCTTGATATTATGATTAAAAATGCAAAATAGTTCAAGTCCCAAACCTATTGCCAAAATATAGGTTAGGATAATATTGAACAAAATGTTTAGATCAGATTGTCACTGTTTCTATCAGCTGTATTCTAAATTCAGTTGTAAAATTTGACATGTCATACAAAAATGGTCATAAAATCCTAATTATTTAGATTACTTAGTTTCAAATAAAGACTTGGTGATGCATAACTAAACAGAGAAGGCAGGCACATTCTTAGAAATGTAAGCACTGTTGTTGAAAAAGTAAGAAAGTAAGTTAAGCACAATATTTTGTGTGTTTAAAAAAAATCACAATGTGTGTCTAACATCCTTGAATGTTGTGTCATTTTAATATTTTGTTTCTGTAATACTGATACTTAAATAGTTTAGATGTACTCTATATTCATTTCTCTTTAATTTGAAATATATCGTAATACAGCCAGTACTTTTTCTTCTGGAAGGTTTTAGCTTTGTCATGTTGCAGTAAAAAACATTCAGCTCATAATTAATTCTGTTCAAAGAAAGAAACACTTTCATACTGAAAGAGTTATATAAAGAGTTATATAGAAACAAAAACAGAAATATCAGTGATAAATAATGCACATTTTTAGGGGTTTCCAAAAGTAAAGCAATGTTAACACTGACAAAAGATCAGTTGTTTATGCAAGTAGAGCAATGTTAACACTGACCAAAGGTCAATTGCTTGTGAAAGTAGAACAATGTTAACACTGACCTTACTGCTAGGAGCCCTAGGTCTTCCACCATCTCTCGACAAACCAGGTTGATTTCTGAAATTAGCAAGTTTGAAATAAAAAATAAAAAATTAAAATACTAGCAAAAACCAATTAATACATTTTACAGACAAAAAAATCTGAACCACTGAAAAACAGTCAGGTGCTCACATAAACAAATAATAGTGTTGCAGTTTGAATACATTTAACTCTTTCACTTCAGGAATACTAAAAACAAACAAAACAAAATAAGTCAATACCCTGTCAGAATTCCAGGATAAATCCTTAAAACATTTGCAAAATATCCACGTTAAACATTTTTTTTTTTTAAATATGTAAAGAAAATGAAAGAAGTTATCAATAAACAAACAGAATGAGTATATGCAGTGAAGTAGAGGTATCATATCTGATGGAAGATGCACCAAAGACATAAAGAACTGATTAGAATATATTTATTGACTGACAACATAAATGAAACATTTATTACCTCTCCCATGACTGGATATTCATATCAGGCTTGTCAATGGGATAGTTTGAACTAGTGACTGCAACACTTGGACAGTTCTGAAAAATACCATTAAACAAATTATGTTTCTGAAAACTCAGCATCATTTGATTTTTGAAATTTTTATAAAAGTCAATGGTAGGTTTTATCTGGCACAGTTTCTCTGTGCATTACAATCTGCCATATTAACTGCTGAAGTTCAAGTGTCAGTCATCAACACTTTAAAAAAAAAAATACACACACACACATATACACATACATATATATATACACATATATATATATATATATATATATATATATATATATATATATATATATATATATATATGTATGTATATATATATATATATATATATATATATATATATATATATATATATATATATATATATATATATATATATACACATATATATAAGTACAGTAAAGGTTCCTTTTCCATGCCTTTAGGCTTATAAGGCATATAGGGCTAGAGGTATATTTTTATAGACTAATCGGCACAAGATAGGTGATGTGGTCAGCATCACGCAGGCCGCCTTTACTTTCAAGGACTGCACCGGGTACCCACTCATTTATATATATATATATATATATATATATATATATATATATATATATATATATATATATATATATATATATATATATATATATATATATATATATATATATATATATATATATATGCACACACACATATACATACCATACATACACACAAATATATGCATATATAAAATAAATTGTTAAATACTTAATATTTTTAAATGCCTTCTTCTACCCCCCCCCCCCCCCCCCCACCCCACCCCCCCCTTTTTGCCCTCACCATCTTTTTCATCTTATTTTTTTATTCTTTTTTCCATGTATTTTGTGGTCTGCCTTTAATCCTTTGTACTTGTGGATTCCAGGGCAAGAACATTCTAGCTATATTGTTATTAGTTTTCTCAATGTATGTCCTATCCAACACCAAGCGTTGTTTCATCATCTCTTTATTCAAAGGAATTTATTTAGCTCTCTCCCAAAGAACTGACTTCATGATGCCACACCAGTTCATTGTCTTTACTCTCCAGCACCAGTTAATAAATTTAGTTTATTAGAACTGTTTTAGAGATCCTTGTGTTTCATTTCAAAAATATAATCAATGAAAAAAAAAAAATTACCAAAACAGCCACAACAACAAAATGAGACAAATGGTTTATAAAAGCGACTGTAGTGACTGGCCAGACCACTGGTCTTCCATCACAAGCATCTAGAAATTGTAGCCCCAAATACTGGCCTCCAATGTTTATGAGGCAATGTGGGGTTAAAGACTGAGAATGACATAAATGTTTGTACTAAGGTCAAGGTAGTTCTATAGCAGTTTTGCATCATGTGTGGGCAGTTGAAGATGTCACTGCATGTAAGATAAGTTAACACATTACCTTTCACATATTCCATGTCTAGATCTGGCTAAATACAGACCTGGCTGTGGCTTAAGACAGATCTGGCTGTGGACAAAGACAGACCTGACTGTGGCTAAAGATATACCTGGCTGTGACTAAAGATAGACCTGGTTGTGGTAAAAGACAGACCTAGCTGTGGACAAAGACAGACCTGGCTGTGTCCAAAGACAGACCTGGCTGTGTCCAAAGACAGACCTGGCTGTGTCCAAAGACAGACCTGGCTGTGGACAAAGACAGACCTGGCTGTGTCCAAAGACAGACCTGGCTGTGGACAAAGACAGACCTGGCTGTGGACAAAGACAGACCTGGCTGTGGTCCAAAGACAGACCTGGCTGTGGAAAAAGACAGACCTGGCTGTGGACAAAGACAGACCTGGCTGTTGACAAAGATAGACCTGGCTGTGGACAAAGATAGACCTGGCTGTGTCCAAAGACAGACCTGGTTGTTGACAAAGTCAGACCTGGTTGTGTCCAAAGACAGACCTGGCTGTGGACAAAGACAGACCTGGCTGTGGCTAAAGATAGACCTGGCTGTGTCCAGACCTGACTGTGGACAAAGACAGACCTGACTGTGGACAAAGATAGACCTGGCTGTGTCCAAAGACAGACCTGGCTGTGGACAAAGACAGACCTGGCTGTGTCCAAAGACAGACCTGGCTGTGTCCAGACCTGACTGTGGACAAAGACAGACCTGGCTGTAGCAAAAGACAGACATGACTGTGGACAAAGATAGACCTGGCTGTGGCCAAAGATAGACCTGGCTGTGGACAAAGACAGACCTGGCTCTGTGCAAAGTCATATCTGACCAGGTTCTGGTGATCGATGGAGTGTAACCAAGAATCAAGAACAACACATAATATCAATATAGTTGCAAGTACATTCAACATGCAAATTACCTTTTGTGGGGAGCTTGAATTATCATCTGCGGAAGTAAGCAAAAATAATGTTCTAAATGGTGTTACTTCATTAATGAATGTTAATAATAAGGTGTACATTTTGCTACTCTTCTTCATATCTGACAAACATATAGTGATGTAAATTTGATGTTTATCTTTTATCTTTCTAATAGTGTAAAAGGACTGAAATATTTATTCCTGCCTGTATAAAATCACAATGAGGATGATAAATTGTTTCTGAATTTAATGGGGAAAAAAAATGAAGTCCACTGAAACAAAATAAACTACAAGTTACCAAGGAATGAAGAATGTGAAAATGTCACAAACTGTGAATATCTCGGCTCCATTATCAACACCACTAGACATTGTTCAACAGAAGTTGATAGAAAGAGGGCCATAGCAATACAAAGATTAGACCACATTAAAAGTCTATGGCTTTGCCCCAGCAAGCAAATCAAAGTGAAAATGTTGATTGTACGTATTTTCTTTGTTGCAACATACGGATGTGAGTCGTGGACCATCTTGCATTCTTTAAGGAAGATATAATAGGGGCTAATGAGCTGAAATTCTACAGACAGCTTCTTAGAATATGCTGGAGAAAGAAGAAAATAAATATAAGCATCCTAAAAGAACTGACAATTGAAGAAAATTTGCTTGTAAACAGCATCTTGTCTTGCATACTGAAATACTTTAACCACATCAAACTTCACAATGCAGAGAAAAAAACAGTTCTGGAGAGTCTGATACTGGGTAAACGAGACAGGAGCTGACCAGCATGAAGGTGGGTGTAGGGCATTGTTTGTTTGTTTGTTTTAGTATCCAGAAGCCATGAGTTGCTAACCCTTAGGCTCGGTATTATGGACATCGCAACCTTTCGGCCTTGATTCCATTTTAAATACCGTAAATCTGGGGTAAATGTGGCTTTTCTGCCCACCCCCAGGAGTGAACCCGGACCACAAGGAGTTCGTCACCCACTCACCGTGCAATCCGGTTTAGCCAACTACACTAGAGAGACGGGCAGGGTGTAGGACATGAGACATCTTGGGCAGGAAAGTGCATGAGAGCTGGTGAGCAACTAGGTTTCTTTCAGGTTGGCTGTGATGGGAGTGATATTCTGCAAAAGACCTGCCACATGATGATGATGATCTTTTACATCAAGTAGCTCAAGTTTAGTCTGACACACTTTCTGTTGATCTTTATGTATGTAATAGCCACATGATGATGTTGGACTCTATGTAATAGCCACATGACAATTTTGGTCTCTATGTTAAAGTGAAAGTAAAGGAGCCTTTTTATGCTAGTGGCACATTGGGCATACGATGCTAGACTGATATCGGCCCTGGCTGGGTGATATGGTCAACATTATGTCAGAAACCTTTACTCCCAAGGTCATTACCTGGTAGCCATTTTAGACTCAGCCATACTTAATAAGTATCTGAAGCCAGGACCTTCAGGATGACAAGCAAGCAGCTAGCCACTGTGCCGCCTCATAGCTCCACTCTATTTCTTCTAATGAATGGTGCTCTGGTTAAACATGGCTGAAATATTTACTGCTTCCATTACATAACAGGCAAGACGGAGGCCATGATATCACAGGCAAGATGGAGGCCATGATATCACAGGCAAGATGGAGGCCATGACATTACAGGCAATATGGAGGCTATGATATTGCAGGCAATATGGAGGCCATGACATTACAGGCAATATGGAGGCCATGACATTACAGGCAAAATGGAGGCTGTGCAGATACAACTACAATACATGTCTACAACATAATTGGCAATTCAATACCTGTAACTGAAATACTGAAAGAAAAAAAAAAAAAAAGGGGGTGGTGGTAGATGGCCAAGACTGATTACAGTCTCAGAAATTTCATTTAGTTATATAATTGTTATTGCTGAAAAAAATTGAAGTTGTTTTATCTCCTGGTAACCAGACAATTATAACTGTAACTTTTGTATGGCCGGAATGTCATTTCTCTGAACTACAAACCCGGAGTAAAACAACACTGAGTCAGTCTGGTCTGTGTTAAGTAACAGATGAACATCAGAAAAAATTAAAAACAGTGCAATGTGTCCATGATCACAGCTGCTAGAAGAGCAAGAAGCAGACAGAACCTTGCATCTTCCTCAACCCACAAAGCAGTAAAAGAGGAAGTGAAAAAGAGGAAGAAGGAGAAAAAATTAACAGCTGGCGAGTTGACATATATAATGTGTTCAATTAAAAAAATCTAAACAAACATAATAAAGTATAGAATGGTATGGAATGCACATGTTATTTTTGAAGCATTTTCTCCTAAATATAAAACAGATGAAGATAATCAACTGTTGTACTAACGACATTAAAAATCCACCATTTTAATGACACAATGTTAGATTACCCCAAAATTCTTAGTACAATTTTTATTTTAATCACAACTCATACAGATGAAAAAAAAAAGCAATACTGGAAACAATAATACAGATTACAAAATCGGATTAAATAAAAAATTACTCAGTATGTGGAATGTATACCCTAATAACTCGACAAACACTTTTTACATCCCACTTGTAAGACTGAGGGTTGAACAGGATATTTTTGTTAAAATTACTGCTTTAAACCATAAAGCACACATGACATTTTGGAGAATACTCTAGAGAAGAAAAGCTTACCTGGTGGTGGTCCAATGGTCAGTGCCACAGAGAAGCCTGAATCCTTGATTAGACTGACCACATCTTTATGATGCATGTTGGACGTATCAGTGCCATTAACTGCCAAAATTCTGTCCCCTACATGGAGTCGTCCACATCTGGCAGCAGGACTGTTTTCTTGAATGTGACCTGATGATAAAGAACTCTTTCTAGAATATGGCTGTCAAAGAGTATAATGTTTAAAATAATGTCATCTTTATCAACCAATAATGCATTCTGACAATTCCATCTGTAATATAATAGAATATGAACAGATACATTTCAAAGATAATGAAAGGGAAGCCAACATTCTGTAAATTTGAGACTTTTTCAATGAAATAAATGTAAATCAATCATAAATTTATCACTCACAGACTGACTTTGTTAATTGTGGTTGTTGTATACTGTATTATAACAAAAGCTGTTGCTAGTCCTTAAAGTCTGTGCAAGTGACAAACCTGAAACTGTTGTTGGCATTTAGACTTTCTGAAGAAAACAGAAACAGCCAGCTTGTTTCTCATGAGCAAAGTAATATACTATCTTGGAGAGGTCGCGTCGTAATTGTATGATTTTACAATTAGGTTTCTTTCTTGTTTGGTGCATTTAGAAAGAATATATTTTCTTTGTCTCCTAAAAGTGTTAAACTAGTTTATAAATTTAAGCACAGACTTCTTCTTCTTTAAGTCACTTGAAAAAAATAATCTATATCTGCAAAGTTGTCTCTAGTATGAAATTCACTGTCTTTTGTAATTCACTCAACGACCCGTAAAGTTTGACTTGCACTGATGTTTCTCTTGACTTAAAGTTTTACCTTGGTATGTTGCATTTGGGACAGTCTTGGAGGACAAACTAATATGTAAACTTACATACAATCCAAGATATACACCATCCCACAATCTAAATAAGCCAACACACAAACTAATGTATACACCAACACTCAAAACAATATGTATTCATCATGTGACGTGACGTAAAGTGTAAGTCAGCACTGGATGCCCATCTTACATAACTCCAGCAACATGCCTCAGACTGTCCTGCCCAGCCATCCAGGTATTTATTTCTTTGTCTTCCTTTTGCTGTTTTACCTCAAGTTTGCCAGCTGTCACTAACTTTCTAATTTATTCCTTCTCACAACCTGTCAAAAACATCTAGACTGCCCTAGTTTTCTAATTTATTACTTCCCATAACATCCAAAAAACATCTAGACTGTCTCAATTTTCTAATTTATTCCTCTAATTTGTCTGTCTCATGAAGGACTGTCTTAGACACTTATACCATCAACATCATTCTGTTGTTATTTGTTACACAGGGCTCACAATCCAGTCCTCCATTCCATTCCATCATATGCAACTGTTTTAATATTGTGGATGGAATCCAGTCCAGCTTCTTTGGCCTCCCTCAACAACATTATTCTGAAGCTTTCTCTAGGGCATGAACATCCATCCATTTGTTTCCCATTTTTATTCCAGTTTAGTGATTCTTTATGTGCTTCTAATCGTGATATGCCCAAAATGTGGCCATCTTGTTTTTTTTTCATATCTGTAAATACTAGTGGTTGTCCAGACATATCTCTTTTTTTTTCTTGCTGCTTTTGAATTCATCCTATTTAACATAGAAACTAATACAGGAGTCAGTATTTCTCCATATTAGAGGCACAAAGGATTGGCTGCTTGTTACTTTGCCGTGGTCATCATGTTTATCAAGAAGTCTGTCATGTGGCTGGTTGTTACTTTGCCGTGGTCATCATGTTTATCAGGAAGTCTGTCATGTGGCTGGTTGTTACTTTGCTGTGGTCATCATGTTTAACAGGAAGTCTGTCATGTGGCTGGTTGTTACTTTGCCGTGGTCATCATGTTTATCAGGAAGTCTGTCATGTGGCTGGTTGTTACTTTGCTGTGGTCATCATGTTTATCAGGAAGTCTGTCATGTGGCTGGTTGTTACTTTGCTGTGGTCATCATGTTTATCAGGAAGTCTGTCATGTGGCTGGTTGTTACTTTGCTGTGGTAATCATGTTTATCAGTAAGTCTGTCATGTGGCTGGTTGTTACTTTGCCGTGGTCATCATGTTTATCAGGAAGTCTGTCATGTGGGTGGTTGTTACTTTGCTGTGGTCATCATGTTTATCAGGAAGTCTGTCATGTGGCTGGTTGTTACTTTGCTGTGGTCATCATGTTTATCAGGAAGTCTGTCATGTGGCTGGTTGTTACTTTGCTGTGGTCATCATGTTTATCAGGAAGTCTGTCATGTGGCTGGTTGTTACTTTGCTGTGGTCATCATGTTTATCAAAAAGTCTGTCATGTGGCTGGTTGTTACTTTGCTGTGGTCATCATGTTTATCAGGAAGTCTGTCATGTGGCTGGTTGTTACTTTGCTGTGGTCATCATGTTTATCAGGAAGTCTGTCATGTGGCTGGTTGTTACTTTGCTGTGGTCATCATGTTTATCAGGAAGTCTGTCATGTGGCTGGTTGTTACTTTGCTGTGGTCATCATGTTTATCAGGAAGTCTGTCATGTGGCTGGTTGTTACTTTGCTGTGGTCATCATGTTTAACAGGAAGTCTGTCATGTGGCTGGTTGTTACTTTGCCGTGGTCATCATGTTTATCAGGAAGTCTGTCATGTGGCTGGTTGTTACTTTGCTGTGGTCATCATGTTTATCAGGAAGTCTGTCATGTGGCTGGTTGTTACTTTGCTGTGGTCATCATGTTTATCAGGAAGTCTGTCATGTGGCTGGTTGTTACTTTGCTGTGGTAATCATGTTTATCAGTAAGTCTGTCATGTGGCTGGTTGTTACTTTGCCGTGGTCATCATGTTTATCAGGAAGTCTGTCATGTGGCTGGTTGTTACTTTGCCGTGGTCATCATGTTTATCAGGAAGTCTGTCATGTGGCTGGTTGTTACTTTGCCGTGGTCATCATGTTTATCAGGAAGTCTGTCATGTGGCTGGTTGTTACTTTGCTGTGGTCATCATGTTTATCAGGAAGTCTGTCATGTGGCTGGTTGTTACTTTGCTGTGGTCATCATGTTTAACAGGAAGTCTGTCATGTGGCTGGTTGTTACTTTGCTGTGGTCATCATGTTTATCAGGAAGTATATAATGTGGCTGGTTGTTACTTTGCTGTGGTCATCATGTTTATCAGGAAGTCTGTCATGTGGCTGGCAGCGCACTGGGCATATGATGCCAGACTCATGCTATTTCAGACCAACTGGAACTCTGTAGGTGATGAGGTCAGCTTCCTGCCACCATTTTTACTTCCCAGGACATTATCTGGTACCAATTTTAGGCTGGGGTCGACCTGGAAGCCAAGGTCAGTTATTTAAATTATGACATCTACTTGCAATGTAGACTCGAACCCAAAACCTTTGGACCAGCAGGCATTCATCTGGCTACTGTAATTCGTGATCTGAATGGTAGTCACTCACAAACAACATTAGCATGCAAAAAATTATCACAGGAAAAAACACACCAACAATAAAGAGAAAAATAGCAGGAAACACGCATGCATGATGATGAAGAAGCACATGTGTACAGTGACACTGCAAACTCTCCTCACAAAACATGGACACTACCAAACAGGATTGTCTGTTACTTCTGCAAGGTTGTAGCATCTCACGTTAAAGTTAGTTGCCTAGCCTTTACAGCAGCGGTTCTCAACCTGTGGGTTGCGACTCATTTGAGGGTCGTCTAATACCATCAGAAAACACATATTCACTAAGTTATGAAGTATCAACGAAAATAATTTTATGGTTAGGGGTCGCCACAACATAAGGAACTGTATTAAAGGTTAAAGGACGCTTGAAAACCACTGCTTAACAGAACCGACTCCAGTCTTTTTTGGGGCTGTTTGTGATTTCATAGGTCATTTTATTTCAGTGGCTTTCCATTTCTTTCTGAACGGTCACCTCTCCATATCCCTGTTGAAACCAGTGCAAGTCGGTTTGCTGCCACATCCCCTGCAGCTGGGATCAAACTACAAAGCATGTTCCTAGTACTTAAGCCAGAGAGGTTGATGTCTCATACAGACTGCAATATCTCCCAAGTTTATTTCACAACATTTAAGAATTTGAAATAACACAAGAAAAATGCATACACAGAATGGGGAGATAACTAAGGAGAAAAACTGAAAAATGATATCATTAATAAACTGTAGCCAGCTTCATGTATAGACACTGTATAGAACATTTAAGTAATACTGACACTGCAAATATTTCCCATTGGGTATTATCCTATATAGCCCTGACATATATTATGACATATATTATTCTATACAGCCCCGACACGTACTATTCTATATAGCCTTGATGTATACTATTCTATATAGCCCTGACGTATACAATTCTATACAGCCCTGAGGTATACTATTCTATATAGCCTTGATGGATACTATTCTTTACAGCCCTGATGTATACTATTCTATATAGCCCTGACGTATACAATTCTATACAGCCCTGAGGTATACTATTCTATATAGCCCTGACGTATACAATTCTATACAGCCCTGAGGTATACTATTCTATATAGCCCTGACGTATACAATTCTATACAGCCCTGAGGTATACTATTCTATATAGCCCTGATGTATACAATTCTATACAGCCCTGAGGTATACTATTCTATATAGCCCTGACGTATACAATTCTATACAGCCCTGAGGTATACAATTTTATATAGCCCTGATGTATACTATTCTATACAGCCCTGATGTATACTATTCTTTATAGCCCTGACGTATACAATTCTATACAGCCCTGAGGTATACTATTCTATATAGCCCTGATGTATACAATTCTATACAGCCCTGAGGTATACTATTCTATATAGCCCTGACGTATACAATTCTATACAGCCCTGAGGTATACAATTCTATATAGCCCTGATGTATACTATTCTATACAGCCCTGATGTATACTATTCTATACAGCCCTGATGTATACTATTCTATACAGCCCTGATGTATACTATTCTATACAGCCCTGATGTATACTATTCTATACAGCCCTGATGTATACTATTCTATACAGCCCTGAGGTATACTATTCTATACAGCCCTGATGTATACTATTCTATACAGCCCTGATGTATACTATTCTATACAGCCCTGATGTATACTATTCTTTATAGCCCTGACATATACTATTCTTTATAGTCCTGACAT